CAAGAGCTAGTAATTCCAAATTTTTTGGTTGGACAAAAAGGTGCATTTTTGTCCCATTCAATGTTCTTTCAAGGGTAAAAGTTGGGACCTAGACGATAGCCATTCACATTGGTACCCAATTCTATGAAGTTTTTTGCGACATCATATAACTGTGGATTCATGGAAGCTAATATTAGAGGAGTCTTTCCTTCCTTATCCATCCACTGCATCAGAAACAAAAACAGATCAAGAATAGTTAAACACCTAATTTCATCACTAATTATCGCTAAAGTAGCAATTACCTACTTCAGATGTTTAGCAGATAACGCTAGGCTGTATGTTCCAATCTTGTTCGCAGTGTCGCCTAAAATCAAATTTATTTTTTTTATTATTTATTTTTAGATTAATCTGAAGTAGAAATAAGTCAATAACATACCATTAGCAGCAACACGATCAGCTCCAACAATGACAACATGGATACTTGTAGTTTTCACTAAAGCAGTAGCTGCTGGATCTGCTATAAGAGTTGTCCGTATTTTGTCATGAACTAATTCATAAGCTATCAATCTTGATCCTTACACTTTCACAAATGAACAAAAACAATATTGATTGAGTCATACATTTCATTGAACACCTGGGGTGCACACACAACTAAAGAACTATTCCATATTTCCATATAATAATGAAGACTGTTTACTTGGTTAAATGGACGGGTTTCTGTGCAATAAGATCTTTTTAGTACTCCATCAGCATGTAGTGCACGGATTACTCTAAGAGCAGTTCCAAATCCAGCTGTTGCGAGACTATTGAAATGAACCAATAAAGAAGAAGTCATAGGAACATGTAGCTCAAGATATAGAGTTTGTCATGTAGAGAGGGGTTATTGGATGCAACATCGTCTTCCACCATTACTTCAGTAGCTTCAATGTAAGCCTGAAAGTAACTAAATCAATCTTGATAGGAATCTACAAATTGTTGTGTTTACTGATTTAAAAGCAAAGAAGGAGAGAGGACTTACAAGGAACACTTGGTTAGCCTCTGTAGCAGTTGCAGCAGAGTTCGTAACAATCTCTGTAAGTTTAGTTGCAGCATCTGAAAGATTCACAGCTGTTGGACGACTGAGAAATAGTACACAAAAAATCAGGAAAACGTTTTGAGGACACATTACAAGTATGAGGACATTATAGTGTTGGTAGTTTAGTTTACCTTGAGACAAGGTATTCCAATTTCGTTTTGAGAAACGATGCTGCGTCATTTGGTGTACCACTAAATCCTTCCAGTTTAGATGCTTCTACAACGAGTGAAAGTGCTGCAGCTATGGCGATTGCAGGTGCACCACGAACCACCATATCTTTGATTGCTTTCCTGAATGTACACAAATAGATGATGAAACTAATAGAGAAAACCCTAGAAAACGATGTTTTAGGTGTTTATAGCTTACCAGCCTTCAGCAGCATCTCGAATCTCCAAATAGATCGTATCAAGAGGAAGTTTTCTCTGCTTAAAATAACAATTACAATCAAATGAAGTGAAGTGAATAAACAAAGCATGTGAAGGAGAAAGGGGACCTGATGAAGTAGCTGAAGTGAGCCACAGTGATAACGGATGGCTTGCAGAAATGAGTCGTCTTGAGATGCCACTGATGGAAATTGGAAGCAACTACAATTTAGCAAAAAAGTAAACCAATCTTAAAGGAATTAATGTCTAATTACAAATAATTTGGATTGAGTCGCAAAACACATGTAGATGACGATGAAACTTACCGGAGGGACGTGAGTCGTGAGTGAGGTGTTCGACGGTCAACTGCAATTATAACAATCTCCATAAGTTGTTGGATCATTTTCAGGATTACATGAAGGTGCACCCAATAATTCTTCAAATATCAATTCGAGTAAATATATCAAGTAATTTCACAAATCCATACATGCTCGACTTTAGAGAACATCAGAAAAAGGTATAGAGAAAAACATGTTTTTAGGGGTAAAAGTGAGTTGAGTCGGCGATGATTGACGGCACAGTCGTATACGACGGACGAGTGGTGGGTGGTGGTTGATTTATTGACGTTTTTGGTTCGTGGATGCACGTTTGCCGGTGCAAATTGTTTTCACAAACAAATTTCATCACCGCCTCCATCTTTGTAAAGAACAATCAAAATCGGAACCCATAAAAGCAATTATCTACCATTGGTGTAAGCGGAGGTGAAGCAGTAGAGCCAAGAAGAAAGGAAGATGAAAGGAGACCAGGGTAGGCGGTGGAGAAGATAAAGCTGACTTTGAAGGCGGTCTAATAAAAACATATAACCTTTAAAACAAATCCGTATGTGGCTAAAGTAGGAAAGGAAAGAAAAAATGTGGCGGAAAGGAGAAACCCAAAACTTTCCTGTTCACCGGGGTTTTAAGGATTAATAATATATATAATTACTAAGGTCATAAATATTTACCATTACATTAAATAAATATTTAAATACCAAAATACTTGTAACATCCCAAAGTATGATAAAATTTTTCATTTTAAAATCAATAGTTTCAATCATCAAATTGTTCCAAAACATTCACAAGGTACAATATCAAAATTATCAGAGTAATAATATCCAAGAGTGCAGAAATCATGAGGGGGAGGATGTTGTGCCATTACACCGGGCTCTTCCCCTTTGTAACGAAAGTACCTGAAACCATAAACATAAACTTTAAGCACGATGCTTAGTGAGTTCCCCCAAAGCACCACATACCAAACATACAATCGGGCCTAGCCCTGGGTTATATTTTAACCCAATAAATATATGGTCCCCGCCCTGGGGTATATTTCAATCCAAACATGTTATAGTGCGCCCCGCCCTGGGGTGTATTTTAACCCGAAATATAATAGCTGGCCCTGCCCTGGGCTGTATTTCAACCCGATAATATGATAGTGGGTCCCATCTTGGGATGTATTTCAACCTGATCATACAATAATGGGCCTTGCCCTGGGGTGTATTTCAACCCGATCACACAAACAAATAGATCACATAACAGGTAGCATTCTACGTAATCGAATAATGGGTCAGCATTGGTGCCTTTGACCCATAGATACAGTGAGGAGACTCACCTCAGGAATAAACGAAAATAACTACAACAACACAGTGCTCCGAATAGTGACTCTACCGGTCACCTTTACATATAATAGTGACCAATACTCGAGTCTATAGCTCAAAATACCCAAATACCCCCAGGTCAAACTTAGTCAAAGTCTAAAAGTCAACCGAGTCAACTCAACTGAGTATGCTGGGCGTACTCAACACGTATGCACGAAATACTCCACATTGACCAGAAGTCAAGGAGCTGACCACGTACGCACAATGTACGCATCTGCCACCTTTTCTTCCTAATAAAGGCTTGATCTCGCAAGCCATTTCATCTAAAATCCATATGTAGTCGCCAAATGATGTTTGTAACCATAAAATTTCCAACTTTATGATCTTGCATGGCTATTAAGTGCACATATCCAAAAACCATAACTTCTTAACCCATTAAGACATCCATAACTCATGCATGGAAGGGAAACAACATCCAAGCTTGCATTTTTATGACTTAATACATCATAAAATATTTGAAAGGACAACTTAAAGATCCTGAAGTATTCCATACTCACAAGGATCAAGATTTAGGACCAAAAAGGTGCAAATCCCAAAGCTTGAACAATATCTAAAGAAATGTACATCAAGGTTGGAGCTTTATACCTCCAAAATATGCATAAGGTTGAGTAGTTGATGGATCTAAAGGCTTGAGAACAACATAACTCCTTTAACAATCTTTCTTCACAATCATGAATGCACTAAAATCACTCAAAAGCTTAGGGCTTTCAATCTCAGAGTTTAGAGGGATGGAGGTTGGATTTAAGAAATGATAAAAGGCCATAATGTTCTTTAAATAGGGTCCAAACCTTAAAAATTAGGGTTTGTCCCCTGCTTGTGTACGCCCAACATACGTATGAGATCCACGATCCACCTTTACGCGTCTATGCCCGACGTACATGTCTCGTACGCCAAACATAGGGACCATATCTATAATTTCTTTTAAGAGTTGGGTCACAATGAACATACCTCAAATACTGGTGTTACAAATACCCCTTACTTGAATCAGACTTCACCCTCGAAGTCCGCTGTCATGAATAAATCAGGGTAGTTCTCTCGCATCTCTGCATCAGGCTCCCACGTCCATTCGGAACCCTTCCAATGTTGTTGCTGGACCTTGACCAAAGACACTACTTTGTTACACAAGGCCTTTGTCTTCTTATCTAAGATCATCACTGGTCTCTTAACATAATTCAGGCCATCATGGAAGGGACCAATAAATCAGGGGCATGGAAACATGGAAGGTGTTGTGGATTTGACTGAGCTCATCAGGAAAATCCAGTCGGTATGCAACCTTACCCACCCAGGAGGTAATCCTGAAATGACTAGTAAATTGGGGGCCCAGTTTACCTTGCTTCTGAAATCGGATGACACCTTTCCAAGGTGACACCTTTAGAATCACTAAGTCCCCTACCTAAAACTCAAGGTCTGATCACCACCAGTCTGTATAACTCTTCTGACGGATTTGTGAGACTCGCAACCTATCGCACACCTGTTGAATCAATTCAGTGTTCTTGAGTACTACTTCAATACTCCCCATGACCCGATGTCCGACCTCCCCTAGCAAACTGGGGTCCTACACCTCCTTCCATGCAACATCTCAAAAGATGGTCGGTGAAAGCTAGTATGATAACTGTTGTTGTAAGAGAAGTCGACCAGTGGAAGGTAACTATCCCAACTCCTTCCCAAATCAAACACACACGCCCGGAGCATATCTTCAAGTGTTTGAAACATACGCTCACTCTGTCCATTGGTCTGGTGGTGGTATGTTGTACTAAAATGCACCTAAGTACCCAACTCCTCATGAACCTTCCTCCAAGTCCTGGAGGTGAAATGAACATCTCGGTTTGAAACCAACGAAAGCGGCACCCCATGCCAAACAACCACGTCCCAAATTTAAATGTCAGCTAACTTCTCAGCGAATATACTCTTGGAAATTGGTATTGTAACGACCCACAAATCAGGGGTAAAATTTTCATTTTTAAATATATTATTATAAAACCAACAGTCTAAGAAAACATCCATAATATCATGCTATGTCAAAACCAAAGTAGAAATAACCAAAATATGTTATCGTAAAACAATATCAGAGTGTAATCCCAGAGATCTCGTGTCCGGAAAACCACAGTGTGATGTGTTGCGATCAAGCCGACTCTTTTCCTTAAAACACGAAGTACCTAAAACCACATCTGAAAACCGTAGGCACGAAGCTTAGTGAGTTCCCCAGAGCATACCACACACCACACATACATATATACTAGTAACAGATCACATAGGCCATGCATACCAAGAACCAACAAGAATGTCATGGGCTACCCCACATGGACTTTACCTAGGACTGCCATGGGCTACCCCACATGGTCTTTACTTGGACTATCATGGGCTACCCCACATGGTCTTTACTTGGACTGCCATGGGCTACCCCACATGGTCGTACACCTAAGGCCATGGGTTACCTCACATGGTCTTTACTTAGACTGCCATGGGCTACCCCACATGGTCTTACACCCAAGGCCACAGGCTCCCCCCGGGGTCTTCATACAAAACATACGATCACAATACATATCAAGACACAGAGTAATTGCACATATATCATAAACTCATAATGGGCCGGCCTTGGTGCCGTAGACCCATGGGTATGGTGAGAAGACTCACCTGACACTGCTGAAGTCCCGCAGATAAAACTCCAGCTGCTAGATGACAGATTCCCGAACTGTCAACACCCAAATAACACCCAATTAATAATTAGGTCCCAACACATAATCATAAATACTTACTTGGATAATTACTACATTACCCCAAGGTTGGGTTTATTTAAGCCCAAGTCCCAATCCTTAGGCCCAAAGTCCACTAAGAAATCAAAGCCTAACATATGGCCCAATTTTCCAAACTGGACCCAAGCCTATACATGGTCTTATTCTAAGGCCTAACACCATATAGTCATTAAGGCCCAACTATGGCCCAATTCTCCAAATTGGGCCCAACCCTTTACATAGGCCTTACCCTAGGCCCATTAAATTATTTTAGTCCATATGATTATTCTTGGATGGCCCATTAATAATCCAATCAATAAGGCCCAAAAGAAAAGCCCAATAATAAACCCAAGTAAAATTAGGGTTTCACATAAAATATCGATTAGGGTTAAGTTTCCTACTTAACCCATTAAGGACTTAAGCCACTAAGGACTTAATCCATTAAGTCCAATATTGCTTAGATTAATTTCTGCCAATTATTATTATTTAATATTTCAAGTTATTAAATAATTCTCATGTGTGCCCCAAACAATTCCCACGATTAAGGTTTTATGCCCTTAGAGTTTTCCAACCCAATGCTAGCCCATTAGTCCATTGGTTGTGTTTTTAGGTCACTTTGGGCCTTATTGGGCCCATTAGGGTCTCTTTGGGTCAATTAGGGTCCATTAGACCCATTAGGGTTTCTTTAAGCCCATTGATCACATGTTTGGGCTTTTATGTCCATTAAGCCTCATTGGGCCCATTAGGGTTTTATTCCCTTGTCCAAAAATCCACAGACTAGCAACCCCATCACAACTAAGCACACCGCCACCCGACATGGCGGCCGGTGGTGGCAGGCACCACCCTAAGGTAGTGGTTCTCAATTTCTTTCCATTATTTCATTTTTTTACAATTTACAATGAAAATACTAAAATAAACACACACACACGCTACACTAAATTAAACACACACATGCAACCACCCTTGTGGTGGTACACG